TCCTGAGGCCACTGAACCGGAAACTCTCAGCCAGCTGGCTGCATCGGGAAATTCTGTCCATAAAAGTTATGAACAGATTCGGTGACAATGGGCAGCCCTGGCTGAGTCCAACTCCCACCCTGAAGGGTCCGACTTACTACCGGTAATGCGAACCAAACTCTCGCACCGCTTGTATCGGGACTGAACAGCCCGTAACAATGGGCCTCCAATCCCATACTCACTGTTTACTTTTCCATCCATCCATCCATCCATCCATTTTCTTCCGCTTATCCGGGGTCGGGTCGCGGGGGTAGCAGCCTAAGTAGGGAGGCCCAGACTTCCCTCTCTCCATCCACTTGGTCCAGCTCCTCCGGGAGAATCCCAAGGCCAGGCCAGCCAAGAAACATAATCCCTCCAGTGTGTCCTGGGTCTTCTTCTGGGTCTACTCCCGGTGGGACGTGTCTGGAACACCTCACCAGTGAGGCGTCCAGGAGGCATCCTAAACAGATGCCCGAGCCACCTCAACTGGCTCCTCTCAACGTGGAGAAGCAGCGGCTCTACTCCGAGTCTCTCCCGGATGATGGAGCTTCTCACCCTATCTCTAAGGGAGAGCCCAGAAACCCTGCGGAGAAAACTCATTTCGGCCGCTTGTATCCGAGATCTCGTTCTTTCAGTCACAACCCAAAGCTCATGACCATAGATGAGGGTTGGAACGTAGATCGATCGGTAAATTGAGAGCTTCACCTTGTGACTCATCTCTCTCTTCACCATGACAGACCTGTACAGCGCCCGCTTCACTGCAGATGCTGCACCTATACACCTATCGATCTCATGTTCTCACGCCATCTTAGAGCTATTCCAATCTGGCTTTAAACTTCTTCACAGCACTGAAACTGCTCTATTGAAGGTTTTTAATGATATCTTCAGATCCACAGATACTGGAGATTCTGTGTTGCTTGTCCTGTTGGACCTCACAGCCACCTTTGACACCATCGACCATGAGATCCTCATTGCTAGGTTGGATCAGTGGGTGGGCATCACAGGGTCAGCCCTCAATTGGTTCAGATCTTACCTCACTGACAGATCCTTTTGTCTCTCCATCAAGGATTTTAGTTCTGCAGCGACAGAGCTTAAATGGGGGGTTCCGCAGGGGTCCATCCTGGGTCCCCTCCTATTCTCTTTATACCTGCTGCCACTTGGTTCTATTTTCCAGAAACACAACATACCCTTTCATTTCTACGCCAATGACTGTCAAATTTACTTCCCCCTAAGACACAATGGCACATGCTCTATTCAACCTCTGCTCGACTGCCTGGCTGACATCAGGGACTGGATGGCTTTAAACTTATTAAGTTTCAATGAAAAGAAGTCTGAAGTCATGTTGTTCCCTCCCAATGACACGATCACAAACCACTGCATCGACCTCTCCACTCTAACCCTGTCAGAAAAACAGAGTCACTTATCTGGGAGTGATAATGGACCCTTCCCTGAAACTTAACAATGATGTAAACATGATTGTTAAATCATGTTTCTTCCAACTGAGGCAGCTGTCTAAACTGAAGTCCATATTGTCCAAAAACAACCTGGAGACAGTAATACATGCATTCATTCCATCTAGGCTTGATTACTGCAATTCGCTCCTGTTTGGAATCAGTCAGACCTCCATTGCACGACTACAACTGGTCCAGAATGCAGCAGCCCGATTTTTAACCAGTACAGGCAAAAGAGAGCACATTACACCAGTTTTGTCCTCACTACACTGGCTACCGGTTCACCTTCGAATCCAGTTCAAAATACTTGTGTATGTCTACAAATCACTGAACAGTCTCGCCCCCCCCCCCCCCCCGCCCCCATCTCTCTGATCTGCTGCAACCGTATGTTCCACCATGTTCCCTGAGGTCAGCAGACCAGTTGCTCCTCACAGTTCCAGGAGCTCGTCTAAAGCGCAGAGGTGACAGGGCCTTCTCTGTAACAAGACCAAGACTCTGGAACGAGTTACCTCTGCTTGTCAGACAGGCCCCCTCCCTCTCGGTTTTCAAGTCCCGTTTAAAAACTCACTACTATTCAGTAGCTTTCATCACCAGATGATCTGTGTCTTGATCATGTATGCTCCACACTGGTTTGTTGTCGTTATCTGCATCGTTTTTATGTCTATATTCTGATTTACCTCATTTTGTATTTTGCTTTGTGTGTTACCTTTTGTTTTGTCGGTACAGCACTTTGGTTGGTCTTGTAGCTGTTTTAAGTGCTTTATAAATAAAGTGGTATGGTATGGTATAGTCAGTGTTTTTTACATTAGGCACCTTGTTGGGCAGATAAGAGTCCTTGGGAATATATATTTAGTTGTTCACTGAGATTCTTTTTCTTTTTATGTTGGGGCAGCTGTGGCTGAGTGGTTAGAGCAGTCATCCTCCAATGCGCGAGTTGGGGGTTCGAATCCACCAGCAGTCACTTGCTGAAGTGTCCCTGGGCAAGATACTGAACCCTCATAGCCTCTGATGTGTGTCCCATCAGTGTATGAATGTGATCTAAAGCTCTGATTAGTCTCTTTAAAATGATTTGTTCAATTAGCTTTGTAGAGATCCAGTATAGAGCTGTATGAATGGATAAATGAGTCACAGATTGTTGTGTAAAGAGCTTTGAGTATCTTGATAAGATAGAAAGGCACTGTATAAGTACAGTCCATTTACTATTTACCATTTGATACCTGTCTGCAATTGTGATAAAGATACCAGACAGACAGAGAAAGTCAGGGACAGGTTGTAGAGAATAGGACAAACTACAAGTGACCTATCAATGTTCACCAAGATGTATGGAAGTTGGAGTGTGTTCAGTTAAATCTGAAGATGGTTCTACTGTGTCTGGCCTCGCTCTCTGATTGGAGTGTCTGTGTGGATGAGGTGTTCCTGCAAATCCCCCTAAAACAACATACAGTCCTAGTTATTCACTACAGTAAGGAACCTAAATTTATTGTTTTAAATAAATGTTCTAATTGTTTACATTGTTGTTTTCATATTTTCATCTTGTAGATTACATAATTAAAACAAAATTTATGACCATTTCAAAAGAAAAATTGTTTCTGAATCGAAAATCGTTTTTGAATCGAATCATGGCATCAAAAATTGGTATCGGATCGAATCGCCAGACACTGGGAAATTCGCATCCCTAGTTTGTGTATGTGTGTTTTGTCCTTAAGGTGGACCAGCCTCTGTCTGAGAGCCCTGCTGGGTTTTAAATGTAATGGGATGTTGTGTTTGGAGTAAATCTTTCTGAATGTCAATGATACTCCAGCAACATAAGGGATGACAATGTTTTTCCATCTGTTGTTCTCCTTTTTCTGTTTATTGGTGTGTTTTGTAGATTTCCTCGCTGACTTGACAAAAGTCCACTTAGGATATCCATATGTTTGGAGAGCGTTGTTGATATGTTTTGTTACTTTTCCTTCCCTTCGGTCTTTGTGGGGACGTGTTCGGCCCGATGCTGTAAAGTTCTGATGACAGAGTTTGTGTTCCAGTGGATGGTGGGAGTCAAACAGAAGATACTGGTCTGTGTGGATTAGGGCTTTAACAGACTACTTGAGTAATCTACACATCGATTCCTAGGACATCTATCGAGTTTTTTAATTACACGTCAAGTATTAGTGGGGACGTCATTACATCGCTGTTACGTCATTGCGTCACGTGTCACGTGATCTGCACCGGGCGCGGGTTACCAAATGGATTCCTCCCAGCAGAGGGACTGAGCGGAGCAGGCCCAGTCTTGGCAAACAGGTAGAACTACATCAATAGTCTGGAAATATTTCACTAAAGATGAATCTTCTGGTTCAACTACCGTAAGGAAACAGAAAATGAATCAACTTCCTGACTGTTTGGAGCTCGTGTGAACCGGTGTTACACCATATTTTGTGACCACCGTATATTGTGACCGTAGGGGGCGGTGTTGCATGCACTGTTGCAGGACACAGAATATGGCGTAACACTGGGTCCAATCGACCGAACCAGAACCAGCTTCCTCTGACCTTGTTTCACAAACAAAAAGCAAAAAATATTAATCTCTAAACCTATAAAAAACCTTTAAACATATTAATTTCTCAAACTAAACTTAATGCGCACCACAGCTGGCAGTAGTGCGGGGTGGTCGTCCGCTCCACTGTTTTTAGTTTCATTTTTGACGTGCTGCACGTTTCTTTCAATTTTTGCAGCTTAATAATAATAACATACTTTAGTTTTTCCTGTGACTTATTTGCTGTATGATAAATGGTAGGAGCACAATATATGCTCCCAATGTTTTGTTGGTCTTTTTTTGTAAATAATGACCTTTTTTGCAGTTTTATTTATTTATTTATTTTTGTGTCTTTAGATCCTATGATGTCATCAAGTATTCGAGTTCTACTTGAGTTTTATTATGTTAATGTCAAAATTTAAAATTATGTAGTGGTTCAACCCCTTGTGTGGATTGGTTTCCTGTAGACTTCAATGTTGAGACTGTCCTCTCTATCCATCTGAACCAAACAGTCCAAAAAAGGCAGCTTGTTGTCGTTTGCATCCTCTCTGGTGAATTTGATGCTGTTGTCAGCAGAGTTGATATGTCTGGTGAATGCTTTTACTTTCTTAGCTTGGATTTTAACCTGGGTCTCATCCACATATCAGAACCAATGACTTGGTGTTATTCCCTCAAAGGAGTTTAGGGCTCTCTGTTCCACTTCCTCTATGTAGAGATTGGCCACAATTGGTGACACTGAAGATCCCATGGTACAGCCGTGCTTCTGTCTGTAGAAACTGTCATTATACTTGAAATACGTGGTGGAAAGGCAGAGGTCCAGCAGGGTGCAGATCTGCTCTGGGGTGAAGTTGATCCTGTTGTTTTAAGTCATTGTCTTGTAGGAGTCATTTTCTGATGGTTTCTGACAGTTTTCATATTATAACTTGAAAAATATGTCCCAATATCTTAACACAAATGTTTATATTTTTAAAGTAAATTTTAAAAAAACTGTACACAAAGAAACATGGGATATCTTCTAGTTCCAGGTCACGAAGGCTGTTTGGTGTTTGGAACAATTGAGGGCACTCCCTGTGTCTTCATGAAGGGTCACTTCCATCTGTATGAAGGCTACTCACTCTGTCAGGTGAGTCATTATCACCTGTCCACCTTCAAGGATGGGAATTCAAATCATCCAAGTTACTCACAGCTTTATTCCAAAGCACCGAAACAGTGTGGGTTACTTTAAGCATTGGCTGGATATGCAGCTTATCTTTGATATGACTCAGAAGTACCTTCAAAAAATGTACATGAGATTAGTTCAGCAGTCCCACTGCCCATAAACAATAATTTAACGTTAGTTGAGTTTAGCAAGCTCATTGCTTGCAGAAAGAACAGGGATGTTACAGGGACTTTATCAGTCCCTCTGACCTTAGAAAGGAACAGTAATGTGCCCCTTAGAGTTTAGCAGTGTCACTGCTTGTGGAATGTTCTGCCAAGCTTTTGTGTTCAATCATCTCAGACACTGAAGCAATCTCTGAGCTGCAGCTAATCTAACACGAACCCTCCTCTGTCCACCGGTGTTAGGTGACCCTTCCTGTAAGAATCTTTAAACTGATGGGTGTTGAATCAGTGCTGGTGACAAATGCTTCTGGAGGAATTTGTCCAGACTTTAAAGTTGGAGACATCATGATCATTAAAGACCACATCAACCTGCCAGGATTTGCTGGACAGCACCCACTGTGTGGACCCAATGATGAGCGGTGAGCTGGGGGATATGCTGCAGAACCCAATACTATTTTCTTTGCCTTTAATTTGTCCTGTATGCAGATTTGGGATCAGGTTTCCTTGCATGTCAGATGCCTATAGCAAAGAACTGAGGAGTCTGGCCCTAGGTGTGGGCTCTGAGCTTGGCTGCAGACACTTTCTTAGAACCGGAGTTTACTGCATGGTGAGTGGACCAAACTTTGAGACCATTGCTGAGGCCCGGCTGCTGCTGACATTGGGCTGCGACTCTGTAGGTAAGACAAATATCTAGATATGTGCTTTTAAAATTATGACTTCAGTGACAATTAGTTTTGTTTGTGTTTATATTCCATTAAAGTTCTGTCTTCGGTGACTGAAGGTCTAGTTTCAGACAGAGGAACAAAAATGGACTGTAAATGGACTGTACTTACTGTATATAATGCCTTTCTATTTTATCAAGTTACTCAAAGCACTTTACAACAATATATGTCGTCATTCATACAGTACTCTACTATACCTATACAAAGTATAATCAGTGCTTTAGGTCACATTCATATACTGATGGACACACATCGGACACAATGAGGGGTTCAGTGTCTTGCCCAGGGACAGGACGGCATGTGACTGCTGGTAGAATCACCTCCCCAACTCTTGCATTGGAGGACAACTGCTCTAACCACTCAGCCACCTCAGTCCACTTGTTTACCTCTAAAGCAGGGGTGTCAAATCCACTTACAAAAGGGGGCCAAAATTAAAACCTTTTTCAAACTAAGGGTGAATTTCAAAAAGTACATTAACTCAAATCATATACCCAGCATCTTTTCTTGGTCACAGCTTCCTCAACAAGAGTTTGATTGCTCTCATTTGATGTTCTGTACTATGCTTTTGACATCATAATCAAAGATTACTGACAAAAATCAAGAGATAGAAGTATTTTACGTTTCACATATCATCTTGGGGGCCAAATAAGATTTCAACCAGGGCCACATTTGGCCCCCGGGCCTTGACTTTGACATATATGCTCTAAAGGAACAAGAGCAGCGGGATTTTGTTAGACAGGTCCAGTTGTTTTAACAGGCCAATCAAACAAAACGCCACAACAAATCAAGTCATGAAGTCACGTGACCCATGAGTTTACACACGTTTTTGAGTTTGTAAATCCAAACCAGGAGCTCCAGTTAATCTCTCAGGGTTCAGTTTGATGAGACAGGCATTATGTCTCATGTGAATGTTTTTGTACAGAGCCCTAAGACAACTTCTTTTGTGACGTGGCGCTATGAAAATAAACTGAATTGAATCCATCCATCCATTCATCCATCCATTATATTCCGCTTGTTCCGAAGTCAGGTTGTGGGAGCAGCAGTTTGAGCAAGGTGGCCCAGACATCCGTTTCCACAGCCACCTCTTCCAGCTCTTTTGGGAGGACTCCAAGGCGTTCCCAGGCCAACTGAGAGACATAGTCTCTCCAGCGTGTTCTGGGTCTTCTCCGGGGTCTCCTCCTAGTCAAACATGCCCGAAGCACCTCCCTAGGGAGACGCCCAGAGAGCATGCTTACCAAATGGCTGAACCACCTCAACTGGCACCTCTCGATGTGGGGGAGCAGTGGTCCTAGTCCAAGTCTTTCCTGGATAACAGAACTTCTCACCCTATCTCTAAGGGAGAGTCTAACTACTCTGCAGAAGAAACTCCGTTCAACCGCTTGTATCTGCAATCTCATTCTTTCGATCACTACCCAAAGTTTGTGGCTGTAGGTGAGGGTAGGAACAGGTGAGGGTAGGAACATAGACTGACCAGTAAACAGAGATCTTTGCCTTACAACTCAGCTCTCTCTTTGCCACAACGGCCCAGTACATAGTCTGCAATACTGCAGATGCTGCACCAATCCATCTGTCAATCTCACACTCCATTCTTTCCTCACTTGTGAACAAAATCCGGAGATAATTAAACTCCTCCACTTGAGGCAGAACCTCACCCCTGACCCGTAGAGAGCAATTCACCCTTTTCTGACTGAGGACCATGGCCTCAGATATGGAGGTGCTAATTCTCATCCTAGCCGCTTCACACTCGGCTGCAAACTGCTCCAGTGAGAGCTGGAGATCACAGCACGATGACGTCAAAAGGACCAAATCAAAGAGCAGAAATGGAATCCTGAGGCCACAAACTGGAATCCCTCTACCCCCTGGCTGCACCAAGAAATTCTGTCCATAAAAGTTATGAACAGAATCAGTGACAATTGGCAGCCCTGGCAGAATCCAACTCCCACCCCGAAGGGGTCTGACTTACTACTGGCAATGCGAACCAATCTCTCGCACCGCTTGTATAGGGACTGAACAGCCAGTAACAACAGGTCCCAAATCCCATACTCATGGAGCACCCCCCACAGTGTACCCTGAGGAACAAAGTCAAAAGCATTCTCCAAGTGAACAAAACACATGTAGATTGGATGGGCAAACTCCCATGACCCCTCAAGGGCCCTAGTGAAGGTAAAAAGCCCGTCCAGTGTTCTGTGGCCGCAACAGAACCCACAGTGTTCCTCATGGATCTGAGGTTCAACCAATGATCAAACTCACTTTTCCCGTACCCCTGAATAGACCTTACCAGGGAGGATAGGCGAGTGAGGCCCTTGCAATTGGAGCACACCCTCCAGTCACCCTTTTGGAAGAGGGGAACCACCACTCCAGTCTGCCAATACTGGGGCACTCCCACTGACGGTCATGTAATATTTCAAAGGTGTGTCAACCAAGACAACCCCATAACATCCAGAGCCTTAAGGAAATCAGGGTGAATCTCATCCACCTCCAGAGCCCTTCTGCCACAGAACTGTTTAACAACCCCTGTGACCTCAGCCACAGTTATGGACAGACCAACACTGATGTCCACAGACTCAGCTTCTTCCATGTAAGACGTGTTATAGTGGGTTTGAGAAGGTCCGAGAAATATTTATTCCACTTCATGACAACATTACTGGCTGAGGTCAACAGGACTCCACCATCACTGAACACAGTGTTAGTAAAAAGCTGCATTCCTCTCCTCAGCTGCCTGATAGTTTGCCAAAATTTCATTGGAGCTGACTGAGAGTCTCTATCCAAGGCCTCACTGAATTCCTCCCACATCTGAGCTTTTGCCTCAGCAACAGACAAGGTTGCGAACTGCTTGGCCCTCTGGTACTCCTCAGCTGTCTCCAAGTCCCAACAGCCAACAAGGATCAAACAAGCTGAAGAACCTTCTTCAGTTTGATGGCCTCCCTAACTCAGGGTGTCCACCACTGAGTTTGAGGATGGCTACCATGAGAAACACCAACAACCTTGCAGCCACAGCTCAAGGCAGCCACTTCAACAATTGAGGCATTGAACATGGCCCACTCAGACTCAATGTCTCCTGCCTCAGCCGGGATGTGGTCTCACTACACGTTTGGGTATACCGGGTCTGTCCAGCATCTTCCCCTGCCATCTGACCCACTCAAGACCAGGTGGTGATCAGTTAAAAGCTAAGCTTTTTTCTTCACCTGAGTGTATAAAACAAATGTCCGCAAATCAAATCACACAAATATAAAGTCAATCATCGATCTACAACCTAGGGTGTCCTGATGCCAAGTGCACTTATGGACACCCTTATGTTTAAACATGGTGTTTGTGATGGACAAACTATGACTAGCACAGAAGTCCAACAACAGAAGACTGCTTAGGTTCAGATCAGAGAGGCCGTTCCTCCCAGTCACACCCCTCTAAATCACACTGTCGGTACCCACTTGAGCAGTGAAGTTCCCCAGCAGAATAAATGAATTCCCAGCAGGCACACCTTCCAGCACCCCCGCCAAGGTCTCCAAGAAGATTGGATACTCTGAACTTCTGTTTGGTGCATATGCACAAACACCTGACAGAGTCCATCCCCCCAACTAAAGGCACAGATAAGTTACCCTCTCATCTACCAGGGAAAACTCCAACACACAGGCACTAAAGTTGAGGGGCTAAGAGTAGACCCACACCAGCTCGGCGCCTCTCACCATAGGCAACTCCAGAGTAGAATAAGATCCAGCCCCTCTCAAGGAGATTGGTTCCAGAGCCCATGCTGTGTGTCGAGGTGAGCCCAACTATATCTAGTCAGTACCTCTCTTTGGCAGCATGACGGCTCAGTGGTTACTATTGTTGCCTCACAGCAAGAAGGTCCTACGTTCAGTCCTCAGTTGGATCCTCGGGTCTATCTGTGTGGAGTTTGCATGTTCTTCTCGTGCTTACGTGGGTTTTCTCCGGGTACTCGGGTTTCCTTTCACAGACCAAAAACATACATGTTAGGCTGCCTTAAGGCCCAGGCCTCACTTGCAAAAGAGATCTGTGATCTCAATGGGATTTGCCTGGTTAAATAAAGGTTAATAAATAAATAAACCTCACACACAAGCTCAGGTTCCTTCCCTGCCAGAGAGGTCACATTTCATGTCCCAAGACCCAGCTTTGGAAAGCCAGAGTCAGAGTGCCAAGGCCCCCACCTTCAGCCACTGCCCTTGCCATCATGCACCTGACATATGGCCCCCCCTCCTGCAGGTGGTCGGCCCACAGGAAGGCAAACCCATGTTACTCATTTGGGCTGAGCCCGACTAGGCCCCATGGGTCTCTATCCATGGTCTCTACCCAGACACCAGGCTTGGCGCCAGGGTGGGGCGCGATAATCCATGTCCGGGAAAGGGACACTGAGCTCCTTGTTTATTTCTGTCCATAAGAGTCTTCTGAATCACTCTTTGTCTGATCTGTCATCTAGGACCAATATGCCTTGGGAGACCCTACCAGGAGCATTTACATTCGCCCAAAACAGTATAGCTCCTAGGATCATTCAGGTGCACAAACTCCTCCATCACGATAAGGTGGCAATTTAAGGAGGAGTGATTTGAACTTAACCTGTTAAAAGTTCCACTGCACCTGATTTTTTTCTTGTGTTCTTCAGGTATGAGCATGGTTCCTGAGGTGACTGTGGCCAAGCATTGTGGACTCAGAGTTCTTGGTCTGACCCTCATCACTAACAAGGTCCCTAAAAAACCTGCAACAAAATGTTAATGGGTTACAAGCTGTTTAACATGTTTATCTTCATGTGTTGCACTGCAGGTGTCTCTGGACTACAACCATGAGGAGAAGGTTAACCATGATGAGGTTCTGGAGATCTGCAAGATGAGGGCAGAGCTTCTACAGAAACTCGTCACAAAGCTGATTGGTCGCTGCCAGCAGCAAAGCATCAACAGCATCAACAACTAAGATCCCCTGAGACTCACTTGGGTCTTACCTGAGACTTAGAAAGTTGCTCATCTGCCTTTTCTTTACCCAATAAAACCAAGATCTGAAAGTTTCTTAGTTTTTTGTTTCATTCTTTTTTAGTTTATTTTATAAAAAATAAGAAGTAAATTGAGCTTGTTTTCTTACTTTTTTATACAACACATACATGAAGACAAAATAATTTGAATGTACAGACCAAACAGTCATAGGGTTAACATAAACATTCCTTTTTTACATTTTTCTTTTATGCACAATGAGCCACAATCAATAAAAGTTGATCATGATTTAGATACATGGGCAACACAGGCCAGTGTACTTCTGGTTCTGGATCCAAGCCCGGTAAATGGTGAGGGTTGTCTGGAAGGACTTCCGATGTAAAACACTTTTGCAGATTGGTCGAGGCCCGGGTTAACAATGACGACTACCTGGTCAACGGCCAGTTGACAAACAGGGTGCCGGCAGAAATTGTGCTTCTGTTAGTCAAAGACCACAAGGAGGGAAATGTGTCAGGACGGAGGGGGGAGAGGAAGGTCAAGAATGTAGGACTGAGGGTTGCAACCTAATTGTGGGGACAATGAGCTGGCTGATATGATACAGAGTCAAGTCAAGTCAGATTTATTTTTAGAGCACATTTAAAACAGAAACTGTTACCAAAGTGCTTAACAAAAATATCACATCATCAGATAAAAAGTAGCAAGATATATTTACAGCACATGGAATAAAAATATAAAACAGAAAACATAATTAGAAACAATGAAACACTAAATCAGATCACGTTGTGTCAAAATTCAAGGAAATAAAAACAAAAAGCATAAACTCAGTCAGAAACAATGTAATACTAAATCAGATCAGATGACCTTGTGTTAAATAGGAATAATAACAAAAGCATAAACAGAATCAGCATCAATGAAAAACCAGATCTAAATCTGATCACCCTGTGTTAAATGTCAGTGAGTACAGGTGTGTCAGTGAGTACAGATGTGTCAGTGAGTACAGATGTGTCAGTGA